CTTGATCAAACCACATCTTGAATATTTGCATTCAGTTCTGGGTCACAAGTTTATGAAGGATGGGATCTCGATAAGCTAAAAGACACTCGTGAGAAGACAACCAGAATGGTAAAGAACCTTGAATCTATGTTATTAAGCACTTGCTCTGTGCTAAGCACCCAGGACGCAAAGAAATGAAAATGTGTTGTCATTGCCCTCAAGGAACATTCTAATGGGGTAGGGCTTGACAACATTGAAACAACATTATTCACACAAGATATATAGAATTATATGGAAAAATCTCAGAGAGAAGGTACTGGCAGTGAGTGGATTGTGACATGACCTAATATAAAGTTCCAGCAAAAGGAGACTAAAAAGAAACAGTCAGATTGGTAAGAGGAGAACCAGGACAGCAACATCATAATCCATAGAAAAGAGACTCTCCAGCACTAGGGGGTGGTCATGAGCATCAAATAAGGTAGATAGGGAAGGATGAGGACAAAGAAAAACTGATCAGATCTGTTGATTAAGAGATCACTGGTAACATTAAAGAGATCAATTTGAATGATGAAGGCAGAAGGTTGATTGCAAAGGGTTGAGAAGTGACTGAGAAAAGAGAAAGTAGAGGTATCTAGTATAGACAATTTTCTCAAGGAGTTCAGCCAAGGAGGGGAGGAGAAATAGAAGATGATAGCTAATGGAGATTATTAAATCAAGTGAGGGCTTTTTAAGGATAAAGGAGACATGAATATTTTTATAGGCAGCAGAGAAGGGAACCAATAGATTAGGAAAGAGTAAAGATTAGAAAGGGGGTGGGATGACAGTTATGGCAACCTGCTGGAAAATAAATGAGGAAATTGGATGAGGGATTCACGTAGAAGGGTTTGTCTTGGTAAGGAAAAGTGCTTCTTCATTGTGTTTAGGCAAGAGTGAAGGAGGAGATAATGGGGGAAATGTTTCAGTGCTGGGATATGAGGAGGAGGACTGAAAAGGAAGCTTTTTGCAAATGGCCTTATGAAGTGAGGACTTTAGCTGAGGGGGTGAAAGGAAGAAATGCTTAGGGAGGCATGAGAAGGGATGAAAAGGTTTATAGTAGTCACTGTAGTGAATGGGATATTGAATCAATCAGGGAGGTATAAAAGGATTCCCTGTTGAAATTAGTAAGCATTTGAGATTATGTAACATAAATTTGTAGTGGACCCAGTTAGTATGGATTCTCTCTCTCTCTCTTTCCCTTCCTCCCTCCCTCCCCCTCTCTCCCTCTCTCTCTTTCTCTCTCTCTCTCTCTATATGCATATATATATATATATATGTGTGTATATATATATATATGCATATATATATATGCATATATATAATGTATGTATGTATGTATACACATATCCATTCAATAACATTTAAATAAAAGGAAATGAGTCAGGCAGTAGGAGTAATTCCAGATTGAGATTTGGCAATGTGATCTGTGACAGGATGAGAGGGTGAGAAATTCTTAGAGGAGAGGATAGTATAGAGTTGAGTTGGTTCACCAAGGAACTGAGATAAAGAAAGGAGGAATGTAGCCAGAGCCAGGTTGATGGCCATGTCATTTGAGGATCAGGTAAAGGAATTAGGAATATTTAGCTTGGTGAAGAAAAGATTCAGGAAGGAAACAATTACTCTCTTCAGATAATTTAAAGGGCTCTCATTCCCCCTTCCCTATTTAATGCTAGGGGATGGGGCAGGGAGCAAATGAGTTCAGTTTGGGACAGGTTGAGCTTGCTATGTCAATGGAACATCCAGGTAGAAATTCCTGGTGAATAGTTAAAAGTATGGGGCTCGAGTTTGGGGACAGATCAGCACTGATGATTGAGATATGGTATATTGAGAGAGCACTCAGGAATGACATGAATAAAGATGATCATTGGAACTGTCAGTTTGTCAATGGAGAAAGCATAAAAATAAGGAGAAGAGAGCTGAAGTCAGCCTTTGGTGAAAGGGAGAAATGTTCACATTTTGGGGAAAGGGAAGAAAAGAAGGAGGAAGATCCAAAGTCAGTGTTATTTCCTCTATAGCAGGTTCTTTCCTTCTCTCTAGCAATGTATTGGTGAAAAAAGGGAAAGCCCTCAATGACAAGTTAAGGAACCTGGATTCTATTCCTAGCTTTAGCACTAGCTGTGTGCCATTAGGCACATTACTCAACCTTTCTGGGTCTTGATTTCCTTAGCCATAAAATGGGTATAATAATACTTGCATGTACTTCATAGGGCTAGAAAGCATGTGGAAAGCTACATGGAAAGTGATTTGTAAGCCTTGAAATGTTACAGAAGCATAAAGTATTCTTATTAACATTATTTTGTTTTCTCCTTTCCCGCCACCTGACTTATACTGTACTTGCGAATCCTCAAAGCTTGTGGGAGGGTAGCTCTTTTTGTGCCTCCTTTTGCTTGTTATGATGTTAGCATTTATTATCTAGGACAGGTTTCTCTTTATACCCAAGGATGTCTTTAGTTAAGCATAATTGAAGGAAGAAAGTTTTTCATTCCTTGCCAAGGCTTAGATAGCTGGGGAACTCTGAGTCTAGAGCTGGGGCGCTTAACCAGGTGTATAGATTTCAGTGGATCTATGGGCTTGGATTAGGGAGATTACATCTTTATTTTCACTAACCTTTGGTTTCCTTTATATCCCATGTTTTCATTTTATGCATTTAAAACCATTATTCTGAGTATGGGCCCATCAACTTTACCATACTACTAAAGGGGTCCATGACACCCAAAAAGGTTAAGAATATCTGATCTAATCACTCTTTCTCATGACAGCCCTTCAAATATAATGATGATAATGATGATGCTAGCGAGCATTCATATAGCGCTTTAAGGTTTGCAAAGTGTTTTACGTATATCATCTCATTTGATGCTTACATAACAACCCTGTATTGTCTATAAAGTAGGGACAGTTATACCCCTTTTTTGGATGAGTGAACTGAGGCTGAGTATTTAAGTGATTTGCCCAGGATCACATTGTTAGTAAGTGTCTGAGGGAAGATTTGAACTCAAATCTTCCTGAGTCCAAAGTCTCACATTCTATTCACTATGTCGACTAAAGAGAGTTCTCCTATCTTAGCAAAGATAAGTTATCAGAGTAACTGTTATCTTTTGGAGAACAGAGTCATGGGGCAAAAGGCCATCAGCATAGTGTTTTCTTCCCACAAATGAAGAAATTAGACCAAGGTTCCTTCCCATTCTAAAATACTATGATTCCGTGCATGTGGTTGACTCTGGGAAGAATTATGAAGCAGATGCATTTCATATTCAGTGCCCTCCCCATCACTATGCCAGGTGCTTATGCTCCTGATCCTCCAGGAATACCCACACAGGCCTCTTAGCTTTACTGTCTTTCCCTCCTATCAAAACTTACCATGTGAAGTTCATATCTTTTTGCAGACAGACAACATTTTTGAGGCATGTAAGTGCCATAATGAGTAGTACTGAACTCAGAATCAAGACCAAAGTTCAAATCCTGCCTCAGATACCAGTTAGCTCTGTGACTTTCAGTAAGTCGCTGACCCTGTCTTGCCTCCAGTTTTCTCATCTGTAAAATGAAGGTAACAATAGCACCTACCTCACAGGATTGTTGTGAGGTTCAAATGAAATAATATATGTGTATGTATAGCACCTTGCAAAATTTAAAGTGCTAAATGAATATTAGTTATTACGATGATTATAATTATTACAGTCCATCTATTCCATCTCTTTCATTTTCTAGATGAGCGAGCCTAGGTCAACACACCACATCTCTTGGCACCCTCTCTAAGCCAGGCTAGTCCTTCCCTCACGCTCCACTGACACACAGGGCAAGGAGAAATTAGAATTCTTCCTTTTCCTTCTCCGACATTTTTGGACCCTACCTCTGCTACCATCTCTCCTTTAAAATTAACTTCATCCTGTTTAAAGCCTCATTGATGTCATATATGGACCTTTTAACTACTCTTCTCCTCAAATTACTCTCCTTCTTCCCCAACAATTTGAATATCTATCTCTCCTTAAGCTCCCTGTGAACTACCTGGACTCCTGGCTTTTCAGGATTAAAATTTCCAGGATCACTTCTGTTTCCAGCTTATATTTGCCCTGCAAAGGAGTAATCACTCCTATATCAGCATCCTCCATACCCCATATTCCAAGTTACAGTTTGTCATAGCTTTTCTTACAGCTTTTTTGCAAACTAAGCTGTCATGGAATTACTGTTACCATCATTAGCAATCTCTCTCCCCAACTCCAGTGCTGTCTCCAAAATAGAAAGTTATTAATAGTGGAAAAATTGTACCTATATTCAGGGGTATATTGGTAAATGTTTAACAATAATTTCTCCAGGGAAGTTTAATCTGCATTATTAATACTTTTTCAATCACTTTCTTAAGTCTAGACAATTAACAAAGTAATAAATCAAGGCTTGGTTTGTAATGTTTGTTGATTTCTGAGGCTCCGACTGAAAATTTAACAATTGGATCTCATGATCCAACTCCAGAATTCTGCTTCATGTGTTCAATTTGAGTCAAAATTCAGTTTTCCATGTAGGATTGAGTGGCTATAAAGTGCCTATTTTTATAAAGGAAAGGTTCTCTTTAAGTTTAAATAAAAGGATGGCAACTCATATTTTACAGAATTTTTAGGTTCAAAAAGCATGTTTTCACAGCATTCCTAAGAGGTAGATAGTGCAATATTAGTTGACCAGAGAGCTTTAAAGTTTACAGAGCATTTCAATTATGTCATTTGAGCCTCATAATAGCCCTGTGGGGTAGATATGACAAGTATTATTATTTTCATTTTGTGGGTAAGAAAATGGAGGTTCAGAGAGATTGAGGATGCCCATGACCATGTATCTAATAAGGAGTGGGATTCAGACTCAAACCTCTCCTAACTCCAAGTCCAAAGCATGTTCCAGTATCATCAGTGCTCTTAAGATGATAACATCGAGACATACAAAGGCAAAGTGATTTGCTCAGAATGTTTAAACTCTGCTTAACCCTCTCCCATCCTTCTCCACAGATTCCTGTTATGGGAGGGGCTTTTATGGATTCACCAAATGAAGACTTTAGTACAGAATACTCCTTGTTTAGCTCATCGGCCAATGTGCACACAGCCACTTCAGGGCCAAACCAACTGGAAGACCCACCTCGTTCTTCCAATGATGTCATCTTATTATGGATTGCCATAATAGCCACCATTGGGAACATTGTGGTGGTAGGCGTTGTCTATGCCTTCACCTTCTGAGCAAAACAAAGACCAAGCAGCTGGTGAGCGTGAGGCCTGACCCTGCTAAATGGAAGGAGTGGTGGTAATCATGTGTGAAGCAGAATCCTGCTGGTATGGACAGCCAGTAACTGTGTGTTTTTCTTCTCCCTATCCTTGTAGATAGAATTAGGCCATGCTGTGCCAAGATACTGGTTGCCTCATCATTTAGTTCTCACCAAGGTCTACAAATGAAAGTTGACAAACAGGGCCAGCTTTCAGTTTTTTACACAGTCCTTTCAAAGTCTGAGGGTAAAAACTTGAATAGTGCTAAAGATGAGTATTGTACTTTGAAAATTCAATTCGGTTTTGACAGGCAACTGCTATGCCTTCTAAAGGCTCAAAGTTCATTTGGAAAACTAGGGGAAACAAATTAACTTGCACATTTTTCCTGCTTTTTTCCCCCTTCCAGCTGGATTTTCTGGGGGGGTTTTGTGGGTGAAGGGACAGAACTTGGGAAATGAGATCTGGGAAATGAGTACTGTATAACTAAGTTAACTAAATACAGTTATACAGTACTCAAATACTAGTATTTTTATGATAGAAATAGATGTTTTCTATCTCCTTCTGAAAAATTAGAGATTGTTGTAACTAGATACTATCTTAGATTTGATGTTGTCCAAACTCTTCATTTTCCAGATTAGAAAAGTGAGGTGCATACAGGGGTTGCCTAAGGTCACATAGCTAATTAACAGTAGAACAGAGAACAGAACCCAGGTTTCCCGGTTCCTCAGCCACTGCTATTTCCATTCCCTGGTTTCTCTTTTAGGGAAGGAGAAATGGTCCTTGATGAGCTGATTCAGGGATACTTAAAACTCTTCCACATAAAAAAACAGACAGCCCCACTGGTTATATTTCAAAGTTTGAAATGATCATGATATAATTTGATATCTCTTGAATATATTTTTGCATGCCTTGTTTTATTTCCAATTTCCTTCTGGAATTATGCTAGGTAAGACAATTCCTAGGTGAAAGAAGAGTTCAAGAATTGCTGAAAGTAGAATCTCTCCCACTGAGGTTCAAATCAAAGAGTCCTCTTCTTCCTTCCATAGAAATGCTGCTGCCCCCAACAGCCTCAAGACACGTGCAACACCATGGGAAATGGAAAATGAAAGGGAAGGGGAGCCTCTTTCCAGGAACCTAGAGTTCTTTCTCTCATTATTATAGGAGGGGCTACTATAAGTCTATCATGTGGGTATTGTTTGTGATTAAGAAAATTAAAATAATCTTCTGCCCTTGGGGCAGCAATTGTTACTACAGAAAGCTTAAATTTGCCCAGGCCACCATCCAGGAGAATGAATGATTTTTTAGGACAGAGAAAGAAACAGCCTAATTTTACTAGTGACACCATTAAGGGATTGCTATTGAGAAACTATGGCAACAGAATTATCAGTCTGACTGTGCCCACAGATTGGCTCCAAAAGGGAATTGGCTATGTCTCTTTTTTACAGCTGGACATCCGAGACTGTTAATATTCAAGTGGAAGTCTCTGAACAGTTTGCAAAGCATGGCTCATTTTATTATTGTACTCTAACCACCAGAAAATCACCTTTGTATGAAGAAAGAAGATTTGGTAGGCCAGTTGGGACTCCAGCTTTATATTGCTATGGCTGTGCAATATTCTCTGGATTTGTGGTTTGGCCATATTTTCTTATTTTTTTTAAAGATTATTTCAGGTCTGTCCACTCCTATATGGGAAGGCTTTCCTGAGCACTGAAGCCTTTCTTACAAGGATCATTTAATTTATCAGCAAATACTTAATGTCTCCTGCATGTCAGGCACTGCACTAGGCACTATGGATGCAAAGACAAAAATAATTAAAAATGAAACAGTCCCTGCTTTCTAGAAGCCCTTTTGATCACTGCAGGCCTGGAGAGATAGTGCAAGTTGTTAATACTCAGGAGAGGTAGTGTCCTGAGACTGTGGAAAACCTCTCTGGACTCTGTAAACATTTGTCATTGGCTTGGTTTCCCATTGCTTTGGATCACAGGATCTTAGAGCTAGAAGGAGTTGAAGAGTCCATCTAATTCAGCCCCAATCCAAGGCATGAATACCATTTATGGTATCTCCAGCAAGTGGTCATCTAGCAATCTGCAAGAATTCCATTGGGCCTGAAGGTCTCTTGGAGTCCAAACTGGGTGGGAGAAAGGGACATAAGATAAAGAGGGAGAAAGAGAAAAGGAAGCAATGTGTAGCTCATAACCTTTGGAGAGCAACTTGGTAATTTGACACCACCCACTTAATTATGGTTTTCTTCTGTCTTCTTAATCTCTGCTAGGTATTGAGGATCCTTAGGATTTGGGGAACAGATATCAATAAAATTCAACTCCGTATATGATCCCACTATTTTCAAGTTCACATTTAATCCCTTCTATTTCCTCAAGTAGACAGATAAAATAAAGATGGTAGTTGTATAATAATAATAATGGTAATAGTTATAACTGACATTTATACGAAACCTTAAGATTTGCAAAGAATTTTATACATATCTCAATCTCATTTGATCCTCACAACAATTCTGTGAGGTAGGTGCTATTATTATTATCAGTGACCAATTAATGACAAAAGGAAGTGAGGTGTGATTTTCAGCACATGTAACCAAAGTGAGTTAGAATTAAGCTATTAGGAGTCAGATGATTTCGTTAGTTTAGCCAGTCACCTTTTGGCTGATAAAACATGACCTGTTTCAGCCAGAGAAAGTAGATCCCTAATTCAAATGGCCCTTCATTTTTAAAAGGCTAAGCTACCAAGTGATCACCAAAGGGCTTCAAAACCAGTAGATCCATGCAGCCCTGAGTTTAGGTAATTGAGAAAATAGTTTGTGGATCTTGGCCTAAACTGGGCCTGGGTATGTCATTAGCAGCTAACAAACATTAACTCCAAATGGCAGAATAGAGCAAATGAGAGAAATTTCATAGGACCCTATGACTTATAGCTAGAAGACATCTTAGAAATTACCTAATCTTACCCCATAATTTTCCAGGGAGTAAACTGAAGCTTAGGGAAGTCAATTGGTTTGTTTAAATTCACAGAGGTAGTAAGCAGAATCAGAATTTAAACCTAGATCCAGTGATTCCAAATTCATTATTCTTGGGTAGGCAGATTTAAATTCAATATGATGTAGGACTTTTCTAATAATCAGAGATATCCAGCAGTACTATGGAATACATTAGAATAGATAATGAGCTCCCTAACAGTGAATATTCAGTTCCATTTAAGAACGATTTATTAAATATTTATGGTGTGTAAGCATTGTTGTAGACACTTGAAAAACAAAAATTAAAAAGAAAGTCCCTTCCCTCACATTCAATTGGAAGGTTGTACCATATGTACACAGATAAGTAATGAAGTGATTGGAGGATGGGTTCAGGGAAAAACTGTAACACCTGGGAAAGTTAGGAAAGCCCCAGTAAGCGGTGGTACCTGAGTTGAGCCTTGAAGGCAGTAAGGAGTACCAAGAAGCAAAGATGAAGAGGGAGAGCATTACAAGCACTCTCTACAAAAGCATGGAAGTGATTCATGTTTAAATATTAAGGACATAATAGAGGAGATTCCCTCACCAAATGAACCTTAAGTTCTTTTAAACTTTGAGATTTTTATCTTGATGCACAAGATTATTTGTAGGATTGTAGAACCCCAAATAGGATCATAGATTCCTAAATCCTTTAGCTCTCAGAGCTTGGGTGTTTCAGACATATGGGTCTGTTCCTTCACTTCCAGTTACAGAATATTGACTGTCAGAGTCTGCCATGGATTATACTAAACCCTAAGAACTCATGGAGGTAACTCTAGTCATTAGGGCATTTTCCTGATCTTTCCTACCTTGCCACCAGTGCTATACATGGGATAGATTGCCCCATGTTTCATAAGATTCCCTCGTTGGGCAGTCCTACATATCTTATAATCCTTGTTTCTAAGGTGACCTTTTCTCCTTTTCCAAAAGGAATATTTTTAACCATGTATTCTTCACACCACTCTTGCATATGGACTATGGAAGAATAAATGTATGGGCATGTTTTTCTTTGCAGTTTCAGGTGATTGATTCCAAAGAGTCACTGGCTATCTTAGAATCATAACACTCTGAAATTTCTGAACTTGAAGGGACACCAGAGGTCATCTACTCTAAATTTCAACTCATATTATTAATCATTTCCAACAAGTGATCATCTAACTTAAGTGATGGTGAACTCACAACTCTTTGTGGCAGCTCATTCCATTTTTGTTAACTCCAATCATCAGGAAGTTTTTATTTACGTTGAATCTAAAGTGAACTCCATCTCTTCTACACACAATTCACAGAGTGAGAGCAAAGAGGTATTGTATTCCCACTACCATATTTTGCAAGCTACACAATGATCATGGACAGGAGACCATCAATAGAGGAGGCAACAAGAATTTGTTTGACTATGATCTCATAATCTAGAGAACTTTTTTACCTTCTGATTTCTCAAAATGCACAGAAATGGTGAAATGACAGTTTCTGGGCTGTGCCTACAACCTTTTTATTGACCCCTTTCTACAATATGTACCTACTGAATATCATTCTTATTACCCTGTTTCCCTTCCAATTAAGGGCCTGCATACATCTATCTTTTAACCACGTTTGCTGGAATTGTTTCCATTTTTTAACTTTTCATTAGTGCCTTCATTGTAATGATGAGAAGGAGCCTCTTCTACCTTTCTCAACAAGTTGTCATGCTGATTCATGTGTCCTTTGTTTTCGTGTCTCAACCTTTGAACACCAGCTGGAGGGTTTGCTTGATACCTTTAGTTTATAGCAGGAGTTCTTAATCTTGTTTGTGTCATGGCCCTTTTGGGCAGTATGGTGAAGCCTATGGACCTCATTTCAAAATAACGCATTTTTATAGAATTTCATAACTGAAGGAAATGCTAAATTTCATTGAGAAGCTAATTAAAATGAAAATTGAATTGTTTTCCCATCTCAATTCACAGACTCTTGAAATCTGTCCATGCTTGCCAGTCTAAGATCACTCTTTAACCCCCCCCACACACCTCCCAATCTGGAGGAATGTGCATACCAGGACTGTGATAATTCAGTATAATGATGTGTTGACTATTTCCTTCTGGACAGTGGGGAAAACCTCAATAAATCACTGAGGTCAGCACCCTGCCTCCAGGCAGATGGCTATCTCTTCTTATCCAGGGACCCACTGTGGAGCTCTATTACCAATTAGCTAGGTTGGCATCTGGCCATTTTCAAAATAAGTTTTAAATGGACTCCTTGGAAGGCAGCCAGACCACTTTAGCATAGAATCCCTCTGCAAGAGGTTCATTAGATACAGCCCCCTATATTGTAGCAGTCTCTGTTGTCTATCATATTATACAGGACTGCTCCTCTCAGTAGTGTGACTCATAACAAAAAGCCTCAAAAATGAACTCTGCTTGTGTCAATGCTTCTGAGCATGATAATAAAATATAACCTCCAGGAAGCCTTCAGCCAAAGCAGCCATTTTAACATCAATTTCAGAGAAATCTCATTCTCCAAGAACATGACAGGGAGGGATTTTCCTCTGCACTTGGAAAATAAATAAATAAATATATGTATGTATATATATATATATATATATATGTGTGCGTGTGTGTGTGTGTGTGTGTATATACATATGTATATATATACATGTACACATTTATATATGTATGTATGTATGTGTGTGTATAGTGCAGAAGGAAGAAACAAGATGAAAGAGAATCATGAAATAAAACATAGTTCATACATAAGATGTAGTATGCATGAAAATGTAACAACTGCAAATAGGAACAATATGAGGCCACACCACAAGACGTATCACAAGGCAAGATATCTCAGTTTTTGAACATACTTACCTGTAACACATTTAAATCATTTAACCTTTCTGGGTCTAACTTTCTTCATCTATAAAATGAAGGTTTGGGTTAGATGACTGATGTCTCTTCTAGCTCTAAATCTATGGTTCTATGACATGAATGGGTGTTGACAAACGATAAAGATTATGAGGTCACGAGACACTGAGTTCACATTCGTCAAATAACAATTTATAGAATAATTAGATGAATAGCTCACTTTTACATAAAACTTTAACATTTGCAAGGCAAAGTGGTTTCAATGTTCCCTGAATAGCAAGCCCTATTTTCATCATTATATTTCATTTTACTGAGCAATGGAAAGATACATAGTGACAAATGGACTGCAGGATATTTCCAGTGATGACTTGCACAAAAGAAGGGGCATAGAAGATGTCATCGAGGGCATGTATGGTAGGAAAAGAAGTTTATCAGTCATGTGTCAAGAATGAGGCATAACAGGTAGCCAGACAGTTTGGATGCTGAATTGGCATCCTTGAAATATTAAAAGAACCAGAGGAAAGCTTTTAGTACCTTGGACAGCCACTCAATGGAGGACTTACAGGAAGACATAAAGGAAACTTTCATAGGATGAGAAGGTACAAATTGCACTAGTGAAAGGAGCAGCACAGATGAAATCTCAGATCCATTGAAATATGGTTGACATTTATATGATGCTTAATGGTCACAAATCTCTTTACCTCCATTAGCTTATCTGATCCTCATGTTAAACTTGAGAAGCAAGCAGGGTGAGTATTACTAATCGCACTTTACAGATGATGAGATCAAGGCTCAAGAAGATTGAGTGATTCACCCAAAGTAATGAAGCTTATGAGAAGCAGAATTAGAATTTTAACCTAGGTCTTTTGTTTCAAAATTAGTGTTCGTTCATTTGTTTGTTTTACACTATAGGATTCCTCAATTCCTTTAATTTTTATCACTAATACACTATTCCTTAGTGAAATACAGAGCATCTGAGCTGATCAATAAACCCAAGATTGTGAACATTTAGCAGATTGTGACAGTTGCATTTTCCCCTCAAATTTCTTACAGTCATTGCAGATTTGAATCAATTGTTGAGGCACTCTATGCCAGACATCATGAAAATCTATTCTGAGTAATGTTTTTAGCCGTAACCATTATTCGTATAATTTTAAGACAATATGAATTTCTATGTAGTTGCATATTTGTTAATATAATAGGGATTTCATTGAGTCTGGGCTACATTCATTTTCAAATTTAGTTTTTTAACTGAAAGCATTGCAAGTGGAGTTGCAGCCCAAACTTCAAATATCCACATGTTCTCACATCTTGTCCCCCAATATTATACTTTGTCCCCATTGCCTCCATGTTCTACTTGGCACAAGGGAAGATTCCTATAAAGCAGTAATTCTTAGGCATTTGCATGCTATGACCCTTCAAAGGGACTTTAGCTCACCTCACTCCCTCCAATAGAAAGTTGGGCCAAGAGTACTTAAAAACTGAGATTGTATTTCATATACACATATAAAATGTCAGAGTTGGAAATGGTCTTATAATTACAGAACACAGAATGGTGGGAATGGGTATCTTAGATGTCATAGAACTATAAAATATTAAACCTCAGAAGGTACTTGGACCAAAGAAGAGAGTGTTAGATGGAACTGGAAAGAATTTTGGAGATCGTCTCACTCAATCTCTTTGTTTTAAAGATGAGGAAACTGAGTCTGAGGGATCAGAAGTGATTTTTCCCAAAGTCATTTGTCTTTTCTGGGAATCTTGCCAAGTGTATTTATGTAACATTGGGTCAACCTATGGATTCAGTCAACTGGTCAGTTCAGTGGGGAAAACAAATCCATCAGACATTATTTATTTGGCACCATATTGACCCTGGGGTGGATAGAAGCAAAGCTCTTCAAAAGAAATCTTGTTAGCCCAGTCCTCCCAGAAATGAACAGACCTTCATGTATCACTCCAATGTTTCTGAAACTGCTTGACATGCCCTTTATTTAGTCCATAAAAAGGCCTAGTTAGGGGAACCAATATTTCCTTTATTAGCAGGCTGCCTCACTAACCTATTAATGACTTTTATGCATAGCGTATGCTATGGATGCTAAAAAATAAAAGTATCTATGACTCAGTGCCCATGTTTTAGGATCATAGAATACAGTTAGAGTGACAAGATTCATAGTGAATGTAAAAAATATGTAGCTAAGGATTCAAAGTAGTAAAAAGACTTAAGTGGTAAAATAATAAATGATATAGGAGTTCTGAATAGGGAAAGAGCACTGTGGGCTAGGAAGACTTCAGGTGGGTTGATGGTTGAACTGGGTCTTAAAGGGTGGGTAGCATTTCTGTGGGCAGAGATGGTTACTAACTAGGGGAGAAGGATAAGAGTTGGAGGAAGTTACAAATGTGAAAATTTTATGTGAAGAAAGGGATAAAGTACTAATGATCTTAACAGAAAATGTTGGCTGATGCATAATAGATATTTTATAAATGTCTACAGGTAGTCAACAGCAATAGGAAAGGATCTGATAAATGAACACACTGGGAAGCAGATTGGTGGCTAGAGCTTGTATAAACTGGAGCCTATACAAGCTGCTTGCTCACAGTTTCCCTGTCTATGACCCTCTGAGAATTCTCTCTTTGGTTCTCCAAGTCTGAGAAACACTCAGGAGGTGTATACAGTTTGTACTATATGCAGCTAGGTGTCATGGATTGAAAGCAAGCCTCACTCAGGGAGACAGGTTCAAGTCCTCCCTGTGACACTCACTCTGTGACCTCAGGCAAGTCATTTAACCTCTCTCCATGGCTATAGGCATGTCTCTAAGACTAACATTGCAGAAGATTTGCTAATCTGCATTAGTAGGAGTTTTCTCATTGGGAGCTGCCTAAACCTATGAAATTTCAGGTCTAAACAAAAATAAAATAAAATAAAAAATGATTCATTGCTATTTCTCTTCCATGGCCCTGGATCTTTTGAGGCTTTGAATGAATCAGGTGATCTCTGTACCAACTGACATTCTATTGAAACTTTATTCCTTTGACAAACAGTGCAGGAAATGTGAGTGACACATACAGGGAACACTTGGATTTGGTATTTCCCTGGAAGCTTTACTAGTTTATTGGATGAAAAGATATGTCAGTGATTTTTTGAATGTCCTTTCCTACTTAAATAACTGGGGAATTTCCCT